CGAACCCTCGACGGGAGCGCCGCCGTGCTTCCCAAGCGGCGCACTGTAGCAGTGCGCCACCGGGCCGGCCCCGGAAATTTTCTTAGCCTCTCTGTGTCTGGCTTCCTCATCCAGATGTAGGAACAGCGATAGTACATATCCCCTACAATAAGCTGGAACGACAGCTGTGACGCAGAGAGCTCTCAGTAAACGCTGACTATTATTTGTGTTATTCCTCTCCAACTGCCATGGAGGTTCACTTTCTTTAGCTTTCTGTTTCCCAGGCAGGAGCATAGGCAATGGGAAGAAAGCTTTGTCAGGTCAAAGGTCTTTCCTTTCCCATTTTGGAAATAGATGTAAAGTGATAAAAGTCACTCCTAAATACAGACCTTTTCTTTATATGCATGACGTTTACACCTCCCATTCTGCAAGAAAAATTACTTTCTTTTTCTTTTCCCTTCCTTAGAACAGTCAGAACCCATTTTGCCTTGTCTTCTCTTCTCCCTGGTGAGATTCAGACTCCCCCCCTGGAGGACAGTGTCCAATTCTTGAATCTACATTACAGGAGAGCTGTGGAAACCTCAAGAATGTAAGCACCATGAGGGTAGGGGCCTGTCGGGTATACCCCATTATGGACATTAGGATTCAATTAACTTTTATTGAATGTATATGTATAAAAGAAAACATATGTGTGTGTGTGTGTGTGTGTGTGTGTGTGTGTGTGTGTGTATATATATATATATATATATATATAAATGGATATGAATAAAAGAAGACCTACCAGGATCACCGAAGTTTTAGAAATAAGAAGAAACGTGGCAGGAAATCAAGTTTCCCATGCCCGAAGAAGAAAGAGCTGAGGAACGATTCCTCAGTGATCTGAGGAGGTGAAGTATTTTTGCCTCATCATCGTCCTCAGTGAATGTAAAAACGTGTGGTATGTAAGGCACATAGTATGTGTTCAATTGATTTTTCTTGAGGATGTATGTGCGGAAGACAAGACCTTGATAAACATAAGGAAGGACATCGTTCCAGGGATTTTGAGGTCCTGGAATACATTACAGGGATGTGAAAAAGGCAGTTTTACCTACAGACTATTTCTCACAGTCCCTTCCTATACTAAAATTCTCTAAAAGTACTATTAATTTTTAGTGACAGGACAATTCCCTAAATTTTGTTTCTCCAAGTATTACTTTATAAATAAGGTAATCAGTCATTGGTGTTACTTTCCTAAGACTCCCCTTTCTCTTGAGAGTCTGAGAAAGCTGGTTTTGGCACAGGTGTTCCACACAGATGTCCTGTCTCCACTTGATTCAGTGGTAAAAGTGTTTCTTTACCAATGTGTCCCTTTTTAATGGTAGCCACCTCTCCCCTGCCCCAAGGTATGATCTTCTTTCTTTTCCATTGCAACCTTTGTCTGCTTCCTCTTTCCTTAAGGTGGTGGTAGCAGGGAGAGACCAGAGTCATGTCCTTATGAGTGTCCAATTAAGTGCAGTAATTGATAATCTCTGCAATCTTTGGGCCCTCTCCCTATTTGCACATGGAAACTGTTTCCACACGTGTTTTACTAGATTTCTGTAGTTTGCCTCTGTTTTTGCATTGTGGTCCCTTCTGCCCTAAGGCACTGAGGACTCCCCTTTCTACACTTTCTGGCAAGCATAGCTGTTGCTAGAGCAGGCTTTTTAATTCTGCAGGTGTTCAATGGGCCACCTACTTTGAGTGTGAAGACACCTCTAACCAATCTTTTGTGGGGTGTGTGTGTGCGTGTGTTGGGGAGGGAGAAGAAGGGGTGTCTCTTTAGAAGGACTCCAGAGACCCATAGCATGTGAGAGCTGGAAGGCATCTTCCAGGCAACCTAGTTTAGGGACTGTCAGTCAAGATTTAGAGGAATCTCAAGGTGTTACCGAGCTGCCTAAAGAGGCTGCTGTGTCAAGACCCGGCTGCTGAATGAAATGGGGGTGAATTTTCCTCCTTCCCAGCTGCTAGTAGTTCAGCCTTTATGTGTTTTTAAAACTGGTTTCATGTTTTCATTTTATGAATGAGGCAATAGAGGTGGAATGACTTGTGAATTGGTGCCATTTGACCTTGGCTGCTGCTGGGTAATCCTCCTACCCATCCTTTGGATGTCCTATTGCATTCCCTTCAATATTTCTTCATGACCTTCTGTATTTTTTGAATTCTCCAACCTCATTCACCATCCCCTTGTCCTTTCGCCCTGCACAGGTGCTCTATTTTCCTGAATGAACCGAGGCCTCTGGTGTGCGAGTCTTGGCACCTTCTCTCCCCTCTACCTCGAGATTTCTCTTCCGTGTTCACTTTCCTTCCCCTCCAGTCTCTGGGGAGGGCATGCCTCTCGTCTCTCCACTTTCCCAGGGCTAACCCTTTCACCTGTGCCTCCAATTCCATTTCTTCTTTTTACTGCCAGGACTTATCCCCATTTGGACTTATGTGGCCAATCATTTTCTATCATCCAGGTATTTTCTCTTTACTTACAAACATCTTTGGGTCTTCCCATCACGTAAACAAAATAAACATAAAAAACAACAACAAGAAGGAAATCCCCTTAATTTTGCTCCTCATTACCCATTGCTTTTTAAATTGAGTATAGATTCCTTGCCCAGCATGCCTGGTAATTTTTCTTTACTGGTTCCCTCCCTCGTGTCTTTCACTCAATCTCTTGTGCCAGTTGAAACCCTTCAGAGCCCACCATGCACTCTCTCTTCCATGAATCCTTCCTTGGCTTCCCACAAGCAGCTGCAATCCTGTTCTCATTTAAAAACCCACAGTACAGCTTCTGGCTTGCAAGATCCTAGCCTTCTTCCATCTGCCTCCTGGCTCCCAAGGACAGGGTGAATCCTTCTCAATTTTGTGTCGCCCACAGTTTCTTGTGCATAGGTGTTTGGTCTGCGCAAGTCCCACAGCCATTTGGGCACAGCTAGATCTAGACCCATTTCTATTGATTCCTAGAGCAATGGTTTTTAGTGTAATATTTGTAACTTGGTGAATGTGACCAATATAAGGAGCACTTTTGTCTGGTATTCCAATAGGCTACAGCTTTTGGTCTCTGGGCTAAGTTTCTGCTTTGATTGAGACTACTTTAGCCAAATAACTCTGCAAATTTATTTGGACAGTTTTATCTTGTAAGCCATCTTTCAACTCTGATTAGTTGTGCTTGCAGGAATACCGTGTTAAGAAGGATTCTGAGGCTTATTAGGGGAAAAGGATCATGCTAGATTTGTCTTGTCTTCAATGGGCATGAGAGGAGAGAGTTTGGGCACAGGTGTCAGATTTCTTTGATCCTGTCAGAACACATGCAGCTTGAATCATGGGAACAGATGTGCCCATTTACTGAGTCCCCTCTGGAGGGTCTCCATGGATTGATGATTACATTTGGTGGTTGGGCATGTTTTATGATATCCCATTCTTCATGTGAGCCAAGCTTGTCTGTGCGGAAGGACTGTGTCTAAGCTAGCAACCTTGGCCTCTGTGGAGCTTTGCTCACCGAAACTAGAAAAAAATTACTTTATTCCAGTTCCAAATTCCATCAGTCTGTCATGGAGGAATGCTGTATCTTTCTCTTAGTCCCTCAGAGGATCCAAGGCCGGGCTACCTGACACCTTGCTCCTTTTCTCTATTCCTGACAGCTTTCTCCTCAGCACATTTAAAACTCATGGGAAGTGTTTTTGCCCTGAAGGAGGGAAAACAGGGGCTTTGGAGAATCTGATGCAAATACTCCCCTGGCTGAGTCAAGGAGCTCACAGAACACATTCCCTGCCTGGCGTCAGGATTTCCATGGCCTCAAGCAGGATCCTTGTGATCCCCCTGGGCCCCAGGGAGGTCAAGGATGGGCTTTATAGTCCCTTCTCATTCCTTATTCCTTTGTTCCCTGCTCTAATCCAGACTGGAACCCTGCTGAGATTTGAGAATATTACTTCTCTTTTTCTTGGGGACCGAAAAAAAAAAAAAAAGACCTCAAACTCACATTCTTTACTTCTGATTGTTCTTGGCATGGGCTGGTACTGCCTGGGCAGCAGGACCTTGATTATGGAGTTCATCCTACACTGAGCCCTGTGTTGCTTTAACGCAGATGGAGCAGGACTGGGACAGAGACGGGTGAAAGCAGCTCAGTCCTGCAGGCAGAGGCTGAAATTCTTGCTCTTGCCCCAAACACTGCAGATTCTGGGTTTGCTTCAGACACCCTCATCTGGTCTTGCTTCCCAGTCCTGGGCTTTCCTGGCCTGTCCCAGTCATTCCATTCTCTTCTATACTTTGTGGGCATCTTTGAAAACATTTCTTCCCCTCGGCTCTGGAGAAATATAAGCTGCTGTCATGCCTCCCACCCAAACTCAGCCTGTGCCCTGCCCCTCCTGGTACCCTATTCAGCAGACACTTTTAGCCTTCACCAGGGTGACCAGCCCTTGTGGAAGAAATATAGGTATCTTTCTACACCGGTCAAGCTATTCTCCAATAGTCAAATAAAGCTGTTGAAACCCCACTTACGGTGAATCTCCACAGTCCCCCAAGGTCGTCGCTCCTCTCAAAGCAGGTGGGCTCCAGTCCTTCCTCCAGACAGCACTTGATGCAGGCCAGGCCACTGGCCCCAGCACCCACAATCGCAACCCTCATGGTCATCTTCTCCTGTGTGAGGAAAGCACAGCAGAACTTTGTAGTCACAAAAGACTCACCCTATCCTTGGCTGCTCTAACAAACCAGGAAAAAGAATTTGGAAGATTAAAGGATTTGCTCAGTTTGAGTCCTCTGTGGTTGGTCTCTGGTATGTGAATGGGAGAAGGGAACTGTTGAGTCACTGGTTTAACCCCTGAGCTTTGTTATGATCCCACCCCTCAGGCGGAGCTGGAGCCAAATGTCAGTGCAGTTGTAATCAAGGCTGTAGCTTCTGGCAGAGTGACTGAAATTGGACCCTTTAGTGGACAGAGTCCAGCATTCCGGACTGTGCTGCTGTCTCCAGCCCCCCTTCTCTAACCCTGTTGGAGTGAGCAGGACTACGCTGTGTCAGGACCCAAAACTTGCATGGGCCTAAGGCAAATTTTAAAAGGACTCAATTTTTTTTCTTGGCATTTGTTTCTCTGAGTTCCCTCTTTTCCTATGGTTATTTGATATTTTGAACTTTGGTTATGGGGCAAGATGACATTATTTACATGAATGTAAAGTTGTTTCCCAGCCAGCCTGAAGCTGCAGACTTGCCAGGAGGCACACACTATCCAGCAGGACTTTGACATAACAATGGTGGGAACAGAAACCAGACAGATTCCTGGTGAGACCTTGCACCTGGCTCCTTGTACAGAACATCCCCTGCTCCGCCCCACCCACAGCTCACGTCCCCCTCCCTCCTGTTTTTCATTTCTCATGTTCCATTCCTCAACTCCCTCCTTAAAAAAACCCTCAGTAAATCTGAGTCTGGGAGATGGCTTTAGTCTGGCCATTATCCTTCAGGTTTACCGGAGAGATGTAGCCTAACATCTCTTCTCAGGTCACCAGTTTTCCTGAATAAAAGCTGACTTCCATTTTCACCAACATTTGACTTTTGAGTGGTTTGTTTTTGAAATGAGACAGATACAGACCTGTGCCCAGTAACAACCCTAGAACTGAACACAGCAGCAGACCAGGAAAGGGTCATTTGTCAAACACGTTCTTTTTATCACATGCAAAACCGAAGCTTAGATTGGTGTGGTGACATTACACCAGCTGCACAGCAGTTAGTGGGGTGGAGTTGGGACTAGGAGCAAAAACACTTGTGGCCACCCTGGGTGCACTGCTGCAGCACTGCCCTCTGTGGGTCCCAGTCCCTGGCTGGTGTATGGTTCTACAGTTACCGGTGGATGGTCACCAGTAGAAAGGGAGGGTGGCTGCCAGTGAGGGTTTGTAGTGGAAAGACAGGCATGGAAAACCATCCTCCTCTCTCCTCTGATACCGATTCATCTCTGGAGCACATGGCACAGTCACCACTGGTTGGTACAGGTTAGAGAACCATCTAGCACCAGGTCACGTATTAATAACACAGACATGTAAGAACACTGAGAGGCAATACAGTACATTGATTAAACAACCAAGCTCTGGATCCAGGTTGCCAGGGTTAAAGCCCAGTTCTGTCAGTTACTACTCTGTGATCTTGGGCACATTATTTAACCCCTCTGTGCATCATAAAAACAGGGAAAGTAATAATAGCTTCCTTGTAGTGTTTTCTGAGAATCAAGTGAATTAACACATGCAAAGTGTCTTAGAACAGTTTCTGGCACATAATGAGTGCTCAATAAGTATAAGCTATTGTAATTATAAAAACATTTCCCAAAACTGTTTTCCTATTCTGACTTTCATATCAATGAATTTCCATTCTTTTAATACCTATAGCATTTCTGGACAATAGTACACGTATTTGGCATTAAATCATATGATGTTAGATGTTCTCTAATATAGTTTTGTGACAATTTTATCTCCTCAAGTTTGTAAGTTTTAAAAGCATGGGGGAAACATCCACAATGACATAGTTTTCCTGAACATTTGCTGTTTTCTTGTTTCACACGTGTACTCTCTTCTGTGAGCTGGATATGCATCTTTTGTTTTTTAGTATTGGAAACCTGAGAGAAGTAGCTCAACTAAAGATACTTCATCTGTTTTGTTCTCTGCTCTGTCCCCAGTGTCTATGGCAGCACTTAGAACATAGTATAATAAATATTTATTCAGTGAAATGAGAAGGTCCCTTTTTTTTCAGGTGTTGTGTAAAAATGTTGTAGGATTGGTTGCCTCCCGTAGAAACTGGATATGATTTACTTTGGAAGAACTAGTAGATTCTCTTTAGAGGAAGTCATGCTTTAGACCTTGATGGAACTATAGAATCAAAGCCTTATATGTTTTGCCCCTTCCTGGGCCCAGAAGAGTAGAGTGACCCTACACTGAGAGAGGTGACTGAAGTGTAGGTGTTGGGGCCAGGATCTGTTTCAGATCCCTGCTCTATCATGCATCAGCTTAGTGACATAGGAAAATCACTTACCCTTTCTAGGCTTCAGTTTCCTCATTTGAAAGATAAGATAAAATGCTATTCACTTTCGTGGAACATAAAAAGCATTCAATAGAGAATATCCACTTTTTCCATGGAAAAATGACTCTAGGTAAAAAGAGAGGGCATTGCATGTATACATATGATATTTGCAGCTGTGCACAGAAGCATGCTGACTCTATAGAGATAGCAGGTCAGATCATAGCAAGACATTCATGCTGTCAGCAGGCCAGCAGGAAATAAAGAAAGCTTCTTTTGTTAGGTGAGGGTGAAGAGCCATTTCCAAGAGCTGGACTGAGAAAGAGGGTGAGGTATTTTCCCTAGCACGGCTCCACCGAAACTAGAGAGGAGGTTAGCAGGCGAGGTGTAACTTCCCTGGGAGAGAAGCTAGTGGTGTTCATCCTGCCAATGTCCAGAGAGGAGTGTCCTGCACAGGAGGAATGGGCTCCTGTGTAGCAAAGACCAGCACTGTATATTTCCTTGCCTTGTTGCAGTTTCAGGTACACACTGCTGATTGAAAGCATTGGGCTGGTTCAGTAAGGAGGAACACATCTATTACCCGAGGCAGAGGGAAGCCCAGTTGGGGACCTGGTTCTGCTGTGAGCTGGCTGTGAAGGCCTTGGGAAAAGAGCTGAACTGCCTGGGCTCACTTTGAGAAAGAGGATATAAGTAGTTACTCTTAATGCAAGGACCTGACAAATTGAAGTAAGCAGCTGCTTTTAAACATTTGAAGACTCATTGCGGAGAGAGGGATTAGAATTATGGCCAGCGGCAGAACCGAAGAGGCACATTTTAGCTCAATATAATCACTTTCCAGCATTTTAATCTCTGAAATTGGCTTTATTCAGGCAGTCTATATGGCAAATTTTTGGATATATTGTAAGAGGGAGATGAATAGATCTTGTAGAGGGTGGAATTAAATGCCCTATAGGGTCCTATCAAATTAGATTTTATCATTTATTCTCTGATTAATTCAGGCATCAACACACTCAGGGAGTAGCTTCTATGTTGCTAAGCCCAAGGCTAAGAATTGGGGGTACAAGATGAACAATGCATGATGCCTTCTCTAGAGCAGCAATCAGTCTGGTGGGAAAGTCAAACTCAAAAACAAATAATTACAATATTCTGTGCAAAGTGATAAGACTTAGGTACAAATTGCAATGAGAACATAAAGGAAGAGGTGCTAATTACGACTTTGGGCTATGTATTAGAGTTCTCCAGAAAGACAGAACCAATAGGATACGTACAAGGATACTTCAAAAAGTTTGTGGAAAGTTAGAATTAAAAGATAATGCAAACATTTCCATGAACTTTTTGAGATACCCTTGTATATACATGAGAGGGGATTTATTAGGGGAATTGGCTTATGCAATTATGGAGGTGGAGAAGTCCCACAACAGCCATCTGCAAGCTGGAGTCCATGTTAGGCTGGTAGTATGGCTCAGTCAAAGTTTGAAAGTCTCAGAACCAGGGAAGCTGATGGTAAAATTCTCAGTCCAAGGCTGAAGGCCTGAGAACCGGGGTCAGGGGTAAGTGGGAGGCACTGTTGGTGCAAGTCCCAGAGTCCAAGGGCCTGAGTGCCTGGAGTTTCAATGTCCAAGAGTAGGAGAAGATGGATGTCCCCACTCCAGGAAGAGAGAGAGGACATTACCTTATTTCTGCCTTTTTCATTCTATCCAGGTCTGCAGCTGATTGGATGGTGCCAGCCCACACTGAGGGGCAATTTTCTCCACTCAGTCTACTGACACATGCACCAATATCTTCTGGAAACACTCCCACAGGCACACCCAGAAGTAATGCTTTACCAGTTCTCTAGGTATTCCTTAATCCAGTCAAGTTGATACCTAAAATTAAACATCACAGTGTGGCAGGAAAGCAACATAGAGGAATACTATTTGCTCCAGGTTTTGAAGAATGCATAGGACTTAGGCAGAGGAGGGGAGGCAGTGGGCTCCAGAGACAGAGAGCAGTGAGAGCAAGGGCTAGAGGGGGCCACCGAGGCGTGGTGGCTGCTGACTCTGCAGTCACCTTGTCTTTCTCTTGACTCCTAGAGGAACTACAGCGTGTACCCCATTATATTATATAACTGCATCATACTGTTGATTAACTTGACTGTAACTGTTAGCTCTCTTTCCACATAAGACTATATATTTCCCCAATGTAGGGCATTTTCTTTGGCTAATCACATTTTCTTATAGCTCCTAGAAGCATGCTTGGGCTGTAATAGTTGTTGCATAAATATTTGGCAGTGGGTTGATTTCCTCATGGGTAAAATGAATTCATTCAATACCATATATACTTTTCATTTAAAAATATTAATTAAGCAACTATTTGCTGGGAATTAACATCCTAGGTCTGAGTTCCTTCTTCAAAATGACCTCTAATCAAATTTACAATAAATAGGGCTGCCCAGTTAGCATAGTTGGTTAGAGTGTGGTGCTGATAACACCAAAGTCCAGGGTTCGATCCCTGCACATGCCGGCTGCCAAAAAAATAAAAATAAAAATAAATAAATCAAAGTCCTCTCCCCAGGCCACCAGTGTAACTTAGCATGGTCCAGATGCAGTCAGGCTTCTCTGAACAGCAAATGTCCCTGGAGCTTTTACGGGCATGAATCAGAGACCCGGGTTTGAAGTTCAGTGCTGGCTCGTTACTGATTGCCTCAGTAGGGCTTGAGGCAGTCAATTTAATGATTTTGTGTCTCAGCGTTTTCTTTCCTAAAATGAAGCTAGAAGTAGATCTTCTCTCAGAGGTTTGTTAAAAAAATGAATCAAGTAATAAT